TTTTTTTTTTTTTTTAACCTTTTTCAATTAAGGGAATTGCCTTAAAAACGCATCCAGTTGGCCCAAGATAGCGAGCTGGGGGAAGTAATTTGTCACTTTAAACTTGTGTCCTCTGCCTGGCATTTGTTTCCCTTGCAATCTGTTCCCCTTGAAATTTAACACGAAGCTGCTGAAGTTGAAAATGTATTTTTATAAAAACATTGGTGTATTACAGAGATAAGGAAATGCACAAAGGAGAGGGGTGGTAGTAAGTTGGTCCTGTAATTTAAATACTGTATAAATATTTTTCCAACTGTTCCTTTGCAGTGAAGAAACAACTGGCGATATCAGTGATTCCATGGATTTTGTACTACTCAACTTTGCAGAAATGAACAAGCTCTGGGTACGAATGCAACATCAGGGCCATAGCCGAGATAGAGAAAAAAGAGAACGAGAAAGACAAGAGCTGAGGATTTTAGTGGGAACAAATTTGGTGCGCCTCAGTCAGTTGGAAGGTGTAAATGTAGAACGTTACAAACAGGTTTGTATCTTTTCACTTGTCGTCTCTTCTTAAATTGGGAGATACTAACTAAATCTTATTTTTAAAATCAGTATTTTTGTTATTAATAAATAATACTACATTGCAAAACATTTTAAAATGGCTTTTTTTGGAGAAGACCTCAATAAACTGAAAGATAGATGCACTGTGTGGGAAGACTTAACGTTGTCAAGTTAGCAGTTTTCCTTAAATTGATCTAGAGATTCAGTGTGCTCTCAGTTAAAATCCCTGCAGGCTATTTTGTAGAAATCAACAAGCTGCTTCTAAAATTTATATAAAAAAACCAGAACAGCCACAATTTTGAAAAAAGAAGAACAAAGTTGGAGGACTGAGACAACTGGAATTCAAGATTTACTCTAAGAGCTGGGCATGGTGGTGGTCGCTTGTAGTCTCAGCTACTCAGGAGGCTGAGGCAGGAAGATCGCTTGAGCCCTCAGGTTACAGTTTGAGGTTACAGTAAGCAATGATGATGCCACTGCACTCCAGCCTGGGCAATAGAGTGAGACCCTGTCTCTTCAAAAAAAAAATTTTGCTCTAAAACTACAGTAAGTTCGTGTGATATTGGTGAAAAGGATAGACACATAAATCAATGGAGGGGAATAAAGCCAGGGATTGCCAAACTTTTCGTGTAAAGGACCAGACAGTAAGTCGTTTTTGGCTTTGTACGCCATACGGTCTACGATTAATAAATACTACAGGTATAAGTGCAAAAGTAGCCACAGTCCATGTGGAAGTGAATAGGCATGGCTGTGTTCCACTAAAACTTTGTTTGTAAAAACAAGCAGTGAGCTAGATTTGCCAATATCTGGATTAGATAATCCATATGTAGACCTGCATACATATGGTCAGTTATTTTTGTAAAAGTGCAAAGGCAACCTTTTCAACAAATGGTTCTGGGACAATTGGACATCTATATGCAAATGATTAAAAAAAAAAAAACCGAACCTTGACTTCCTTCATATTGTATAGAAAAACTCTAAAAATGGATCAGAGACCTAAATATAAAACGTAAAGTATTAGAAGAAAACAGAGGAAATGTTTACGACCTTGTATTAGACGAAGATTTCTGAAGACCCACAAAAAAGTATAAACCATACAGAAAAAAAAACTGATAAAATGGGCTTTGTTCTGACTTTTGCTAAGTAAAAACTTTTGCTAAGACTTTTTTTGTTTAAAAACATCTGTATAATTTTCAAGTTTAGAAATGAAGTATAGGTAAGAAAAATCTTAAGTAAGATTGTCAAGTTAGTAGTTCAAATATGTTGTTAAAGGAGTAGCTTAGGATTTTGAAAATATTTGAACTCTTACATGTTTTTTTTCCTTCTAGATTGTTTTGACTGGCATATTGGAGCAAGTTGTGAATTGTAGGGATGCTTTGGCTCAAGAATATCTCATGGAATGTATTATTCAGGTAGGTGGGAACATTTATTTCATTTTTTAAAAGGACTCAGTTTATCTTTCATTAAATTTCATTGTTTTGAAAAAATCTTTTTAGAGAATAGAAAATAAGCTTTCCTGAATAAAGATTTTTCTTGTCTCCAACTAATAACTTGGTCTTTGTATTGATGTGTTTTTTTTCCTCAAAAATACAGGAAAGTGTAATCTCTGAGTTTCCTAGGTCTTACTAGCTTTAGTTTAATTTTAGATGTACTTTGGTTAGTGGAATATTTCTATCTGGGTTTATGTTTAGAGAGGCTCAAAAATAGTGTATTTGAGTTGAATTGTATGAGATTAAAATGGTTTTTTCTACATATGTGAACTTTAAATACCATACGTGAGTTCTGAATATTACTGGAAATGCTTTTACTGATAATCCGTCAATTATTTGATTTTCAGGTTTTCCCTGATGAGTTCCACCTCCAGACTTTGAATCCTTTTCTTCGGGCCTGTGCCGAATTACACCAAAATGTAAATGTGAAAAACATAATCATTGCTCTAATTGATAGGTAAGACCTTCCAACACTGGAGGGTAAATGCTCTGACTTGGGAATGACGAATAAGCCTTGTTTGTGAATTACTTGTTTCTTTATATCTTCATAATATCAGTGATTTTAATGTAATTATACTATAAATAATTTAGCTCTGTGAGTGTGGGTATGCCTAGGTTAGGCATGAAAGAGATTTAGCTTTTAATTGTGCAGGAGGCATGGAGATAATGAGTTTTTTTTTCTTTTTTAATTGTTTTTTTTTTTAAGGTTAGTCAAGTGCAGTAGTGAGGAGGGGGGCAAGTAGTAGAACAAGGAGTTCAATCTGTAACTGACTGTGAACAATCAAGTGAGATAAGTCACTACCTTCGGACCAGCCAAGATAATGAATTTTTTTTTTTTTTTTTTGAGACAGAGTCTCACTTTGTTGCCCTGGCTAGAGTGAGTGCCGTGGCGTCAGCCTGGGTCACAGCAACCTCAGACTCCTGGGCTCAAGCAATCCTACTGCCTCAGCCTCCCAAGTAGCTGGAACTACAGGCATGCGCCACCATGCCCAGCTAATTTTTTCTATATATTTTTAGCTGTCCAATTAATTTCTTTCTATTTTTGGTAGAGACGGGGGTCTCGCTCTTGCTCAGGCTGGTCTCGAACTCCTGAGCTCAAACGATCCGCCTGCCTCGGCCTCCCAGAGTGCTAGGATTACAGGCATGAACCACCGCGCCTGGCCGATAATGAATTTTTAATCTATGCACTTCATTGACATTTAAAGACATTGTTGTACAGAACCATTATTTAAATCTTACAAATCTAGAGATCACTGAAGAACCAAATTTGGTTTTTTACCATGATGTAAGCTATCTTTCTGTGGGAACTGATTTAATTTAGAGTTTATCAAGTAGCCATAAGATACAGATGATTAAGAATGTTCAAATAATCACCCTATCATCACGTTTTCTTAAAGAAGAATTTTTAAGTATCAAATATGTTTAGTGCATCCCCTTTAAATTTTATTTTCTCAGCCATTGGTCTTACTTGGTTAAAAATATAAAACTTGGGGCTAGGTATAGTGGCTGATGCCTATAATCCCAGCACTTTGGGAGGCAGAGGCGGGAGGATCACTTGAGGCCAGGAGTTCAAGACCAGCCTGGGCAACATAATGAGACCCCCGTCTACACAAAAAAAGTAATAAGAAAATTAGCCAGGTCTAGTGCCACATGCCTGTACTCCTAGCTACTCGGGAGGATAAGGAGGGAAGATCACTTGAGCCCAAGAGTTTGCGGCTGCAGTAAGCTATGATGACACCACTGCACTCCAGCCTGCGCAACAGAGAGAGACCCTGTCTCAAAAAAAAAAAAACCCAAAAAACTTGGCCTTCGATAATGGCTTTAACGAGTGACTTCTTAGCAACCATGCTGTGTGGTAGTACATAACATCTGTCATACTTGTGAACATTGTCATGAAACCGGAAACGGAAGCGAAGATTTATTTCTGCAAATACCTTTTCTTATTTTTTTAACTATGTAATTAAATTATTGGTTCTAAAGTATGAGAATTTATATAACAGACTTCTCCAAATTATCAGCTCAGTTCTAGGCAGCAAAGTTACATGCTTATTGGGCCTGCCCTTACAGGAAGCTAGAAACTGGATTTTCCCATGTTGGATAGAATGTCATTTAGCCATCGCTGTCGGTAGTGACTCTTAAATGTAGATGCAGCTGTGACCCTGACAAACACATAATAATAATGGAACAGACATTATTTTGAATAGTTTAAGATGTGGGACATAAAAGTTAACTTTATTACTTTTGGAATTAGTTGTGTTTTAAACTTTACAATAGTAGTAATGCAGAATCTTAAAATAGTCTATGTACTTTTATTTTTTAAAGATTATTTGTTTAAATCATGGCTGTTGAATACACTTGTCACTTCAATGTATTTCTCTCCATATTTCCTTAATTAGGCTTCAAAGAGTTTTTAAATTGGCCTCTGAAAGTCTGTTCAGTGCGGCATGAAGGAGGAGAGCCTGTGTGAGGAGCCATCGTTGGCAAAGCCGTGTAGTTAGCGATGAATTGAGGGAAGGGTCAACTACACACACCGTGTTCCTTTAAAACCTTTTTACTGTTCTAGGAGAAATACACTCGTATAAAATACAGAAAAGCAGTAAAGAATAAAATGTCATCCATGGTCCCACTACTCAAATCCCTATATCTTTTAAAATAAAGATTGTTTGCTTTTTTAGATTAGCTTTATTTGCTCACCGTGAAGATGGACCTGGAATCCCAGCAGATATTAAACTATTTGACATATTTTCACAGCAGGTGGCTACAGTGATACAGGTGTGTATAGCTTTTCTCCTAAGTTCTCAAAACTTTGAAATTTCTTTGCTGGTAGATCCTTTTGTAATTGTTTAAAATAAATTGTGTGGTTTTCTAAACATTCCAGTCGAGACAAGACATGCCTTCAGAGGATGTTGTATCTTTACAAGTCTCTCTCATTAATCTTGCCATGAAATGTTACCCTGATCGTGTGGACTATGTTGATAAAGTTCTAGAAACAACAGTGGAGATATTCAATAAGCTCAACCTTGAACAGTAAGTCAAAGTTATATTTTTGTGAAAATCTTCATAGAGCACTTTTTTTGTCCCAGATTTGTTTCTCTTAGTTGTTTTTTGAAAAGTTAGCATTTGTCTTGTTTTAAGCGTGTATTAAGATTGTCATACTTGGCACCGAATCAGGGCAGAAAGTGGTTACCAATTACTTGGTTATGTACCTTAATGAAGGAATGAGTTCTTTCTGAACTCATGGGCCATAGGCAGTCTTCAGGGACCAATGTCTCCAATTCAGACCCCTTTTTTGTATATGAATGAGCTTGTTTTTAAACTGGTTAAGGAAACTTCATCAAGCAGTATTTCCATAAGAAGTAGTTTCCTACAGATGAGTAAATTGTGAAAAATTAGGGGAATATGTATATTTAAGGTGCAGAATTAGATTGTTTTAAACATTTTTTTGTTTTGTATTTTTAGCTTTGAAAGTATAATGTGCTGTTTCCTACTTGAAGCTTCCTCAGCTATTCCGTCCTAGACCTGTGGCATCCTCTGTGGCCCCTGTGGGCAGTTCCCATCCTGTTGCCTTTCCTGGCGGTTCCCTTTGTGTCCCATTCCCCACTGCTCTGGACTTGGGTCCCACCAGGCCCCCTTCTTTTCTCGTTGTTATTCAGAATTTCACCTCATGTCATCTTTCTCCTTTCCATCTCCCTTCCAGTGGTTCAGCTGCATCAGGAAAATTTCTTCTTCTTCTTTTTTTGTCTTTTTATTACCATTTTTCTTTTGGTCATTCCCATTTTTCTGTGAACTGGAAAGGAGTCCAGATCTTGAATGATGAGTATGAGAGAAAATGAACAAGTGTGAGAGAAAATTAAGTGATATCTTCCCCCAGTAAGTGAGTTTTAAAGTAAAAGTAGACAAAATAATTAGAAATACCAATCTCTAAAGAGGTTATAATAAATGCCCACATATGCCTCAGTGTCCACAGAATGCTCCCACAAACTATTACTACCTTAAATTCAACCTGCTTTTTCTTAATAACTAACATCTGGCACAGAAGATCCAGTGTATGTATTTTTCTATTCTGTTGAATTCTTGGTTTTGCATGGATTTTTTTTCTACTTATTTTCATCATGAACATGCAAATAGTGTTGGCTGCTCTAGGAACCAAACTACTACTTAAAATACTTTCCTTAGAAATGTTGTCAAATTCTAGATAATCATCTTAACTACAACTTTACAACCTGTTCATGAGCTGGAGATGATATCTTATTTTGTATCAATAGAACAATAATAGATGAATAAACGTGTGTGTTTAGACAGCCATCTTTATCTTCTTGGAAGGAGATCATTGGAATATTCTGGAGTGTTGTGATTCACTTGACCCATTTCCTTTAATGTGTAAATGAAAAATTTCAAATACTTATGAAACAAGTGCTATTTGTATGTATAGAAAGTTAATTGTATTCATTAAAGGGCTGCTGTTTTTCTTTTTGTAGTATTGCTACCAGTAGTGCAGTTTCAAAGGAGCTCACCAGACTTTTGAAGATACCTGTTGACACTTACAACAATATTTTAACAGTCTTGAAATTAAAACATTTTCACCCACTCTTTGAGTACTTTGACTATGAGTCCAGAAAGAGCATGAGTTGTTATGTACTTAGTAATGTTCTGGATTATAACACAGAAATTGTCTCTCAAGACCAGGTAAGAGAATACCTACATGCTATTTTAGGGGAAACCTAGACAGTTGAGGTGGGCAGGAGGGGTAATTCACTACTAAAGAAAAGTTACAAGTAGCTTATTCATTATATAAGTTAGAAAATTGGAGATGTATAAAGAAGAATTATAAAACACAATCCCACCAGAAAGTGAATAACCACTGTTAATTAACATTTGGTGCATCTCTTTCCACATTTTTGTCCATATATGTGTGTATTGACATGCATGTATTGACTTTATCAAAAAAAAGAATTATCTTCCTGAAACTATTTTGTAACTTACAGAGCTGGAAACTTTTTATTTTTTTGGAAACACTTGTGATATGGCTTTATATACTGATGGTTTCACCTAAGTGGGTTTCTTGTGTCTCTCATGTTGTAGGTGGATTCCATAATGAATTTGGTGTCCACATTGATTCAAGATCAGCCAGATCAACCTGTAGAAGACCCTGATCCAGAAGACTTTGCTGATGAGCAGAGCCTTGTGGGCCGATTCATTCATCTTTTGCGATCTGAGGACCCTGATCAGCAGTACTTGGTATGAGTTAACTCTTGTTATAACCCTTCATCAGCTCCTAGTGGAATCACCACATATAGAAGTGCTTAAAGTGGTTTAATTCGACTTTTGGTCTTAGAAGATTTTGAAAGAATTGAAACTGAATTAAAGATTCATGGCATAATTTGTATAATTGTTTGTAAACTTATAAAGAATGTACAGAACAAGTCAGTTGCTCTAATTTCTTTTGAAGACTTCTTGAGAATTGCAGAAAAGCCTGTCTCTTAATTAGGTGTCTACTGTAATTATTCTATGTTCATTTTCTTTCTGAACTGTATTGCTTTTAGAAATGTTTAGTTGCTTATTATTGTAAACTTTAAAACATAAGAAACATAATCCTTATTCAATTTTATTTATTTTTCCAAGTTTTCCAAATATAAGTTGTATTTGTTGGTCACATTGAAAATGTGTGGAAGATTTTAAAATTCAGTTTGCCTTTTCCTTAACCCTTTTTTCCTGATAAAGAACAAACAGATGAGGTTCTCTCTTTCTTTACCATTAGGCCTCAATAAGTCTTTGTGAAATAAAGAAAACATGTTGCCTGAGTGGGGGTATTGGATCCTGGATAATTTATTTTAATGAAGGGTAGCATGGTTGGCTGCTTAATTATTGTTTGGAAAAGTAGTTTACCCATTGTGGGATGCATAAGGCTTTTGGGTTGCTATGATGAAAAACACCTTTCCTTATGGATATGTCCTGACTATCTCCCTCTGTTGACTTTCTTTGTCGTAGTTGACACTCTTGTGCTCCTTCATAATCAATGTGAAATAAGAGGCTGACTTCTGTTGTTAGTATGACAGTCTGTGACTTGGCTTAGTAACAGACATTCCAAGCCCTGTGGTATCATGTTCTGTGAGCTGTGTGATCTGCACACAATGACCGTCTGAGTGGTCAAGTATTTTAACCGATTCTCTCATATTTCTGTTTGAGATTGTTTGTATTGGTGCGTTTGTATTTTCATTTTCTGTTGCATACCAAATATAGTGGTTAGGAAGTGTGCCTTCCACATGTATACGGCTGATTAGTAATTCCCATGTGCAGAGACATTTAAGGACAGGATCATTAGCTCTCTTACCCATCTATTACAGCAGAGAAATTCACAAAACCTGAATATGTCACATCTTGTGTCACACATACTAAAAAGTATTTTATGAATTCTGTGATTTTCTTGTCTATTTCTTTTTTTTCCTGAAATAATGATATTTTTTCAGAAACAGCCATGTTTCATGATGCTTTTTTTAGAGTGCATTGGCATTTGCCTTGATTTAAGTGATCTTAATATTTTTCTGAATAAGGAGGTATGATATACCAGCAATATGCATATAGCTGTTTTTTGTCATAACAATAGTTAACATTTTCTGAGCATATGCCTTGTGCTAGGTACTGGTAACAGGTCATATGTGTTATTTAATCTTCCCAGCAACCTACAAGAAGTATACTACCCCATTTTGCAAATGAAGCTTGGTCATTGTGGCTAAGAGAAGGTAAATAGTAAATAATTTGCCCGGAGTCACACAGTTAGTAAGTATTAGAATCCTTTTAAATGTGATTCTGTCTTACTTGAGAGCCTGCATTCTTAAGAACAAAGTACCTGGGTGTATAAAAATACAATTAACTGTATCTACTTCTAACTAGCCACCTTGGCCAGGTTGCACAACGTGTCTAAACCTCAGGCTTCCCCATTCGTCTCTAGGGTGATTGTGGTAACTTGAGGAGACAAATACATAAAGTACCTGTCGTGAAGCCTGGTACATTGTCCATGTTCACAAAATGGTAGCAATGATGATTGGAACTCCCACTTCGTTTTATAAGTAATTAATCATAGTATGGAAAAGATTTTTTAAAGTTTTTTTTTTTTTTTTTTGGTCAGATTTTAAACACAGCACGAAAACATTTTGGAGCTGGTGGGAATCAGCGAATTCGCTTCACACTGCCACCTTTGGTATTCGCAGCGTACCAGCTGGCTTTTCGATACAAAGAGAATTCTAAAGTGGTGGGTTTACTTTTAGTATGTCGTTACTACTTTCTCTTTTTCCTTACTGTGTGTATGTTAGTTTTATATTATAGAAAGTTTCAAACATACAAAAATAGACAGTGGTATAATAAAATTCCATTTTCAGTAACTCTCAATTTGTGTTAAGTGTTCCTAACATGTTGGTGGATCACATATTAGCTGAGGGATCACATAAAAACACTTAGAAATGAAGGATTAAAACAGTTTAAATTTATGCTGCAACTTTTTCCTAGATTCTAATTCAGGTTAGCTTTGCTTAATGAAAGGACCTGGCATTGCGTAGTCATTTCTGTCTAAAAGAATGTAATTGAATAATGTCATGAGTTATATACAATATTTTATGAACTTGTTTCTTTCTCAAACAGAATCATGGCTTAAGTCTTCAGTGGTGTAGTTTTGAAGAAAATACCTCAATCCGATGTATCTGAAAGTTGGACAGCTAGGTTTATGTTAAGGAACGAACCTTAGTAAATTTAATTTTCTAATAATGTAGAAAACATTTATTCTGTAGACCTACCAGGATGACATAGCACCTTTGGCCAATTTTTATAAGGCCAGTTTCTCATTCACTCTCTATTCTATCATTTTAATGGATAATTACTTGTGAACATAACAATAAAAATAGCAACTAGCCTATATTACAAAGCTATAGTGATTAAAATCGTATGGTACCAGCATAAAAACAGACATATAAACCAACACATGAGAATAGTGTCCAGAAATAAACCCATTCATATGCTGTAAACTAATCTTTGATAAGGGTGCTAGGAATATACAATGGGGAAATGACAGTCTCTTCAATAAATGGTATTGAGAAAACTGTATATCCACATGCAAAAGAATGGAATTAGACCCTTACCCTACACTGTACACAATAATGAACTTGGAAATTGATTGAAGACTTACATATAAGACCTGAATCTATAAAACTAAAAGAAAACATGGGGAAAGACCTCCTTGATTGATCTTGGTAATGATTCTTTTGATTTGACACCAAAAACACAGGCAGCAAAAGCAAAAGTAAGCAAGTGGGACTACATCAAACTACCTTTTGTACAGCAAAGGAAACAGTCAGCAGATTGATGAAACAACCTGTGGAATAGGAGGAAATATTTGTAAACCATACATCTGATAAAGGGTTAATATCCAAAATATATAAGGAACTCAATAGCAAGAGAACAAATAACTTGATTAAAAAATGGACAAAGGATCTGTGTAGGCATTTTTTCAAAGAAAATATACAAATAGCCAACAGGTATATGAAAAGGTGCTCAGCATCACTAATTATCAGCCAGGCGTGGTGGCTCACGCCTGTAATGGCACTCTAGCCCGGGCGACAGAGTAAGACTCTGTCTCAAAAAAAAAGATAACAAATGTTGCTGAGGCTGTAGATAGAGAAACAGGAATTCTTTTTTTTTAGACAGAGTGTTGCTCTGTCATCTGTGCTAGAGTGCCGAGGCGTTAGCCTAGCTCACAGCAACCTCAAACCTCAAACTCCTGGGGTCGAGCGATCCTGCCTCAGCCTCCCACGTAGCTGCGACTACAGGCACGCGCCACCGTGCCCGGCTAATTTTTTCTATATATTTTTAGTTGTCCAGCTAATTTCTTTTCTATATTTTTAGTAGAGACGGGGTCTCGCTCTTGCTCAGGCTGGTCTCGAACTCCTGAGCTCAAAGGATCCGCCCGCCTCGGCCTCCCAGAGAGTTAGGATTACAGGCGTGAGCCACTGCTCCTGGTTCAAATGGATTTTTTGAGAGGACATCTTCTTGATTTATTTGCATACTCCATAAGTGAGACAGAGAAGTAAAGTGACAGGAAAACTGTAAGCTTAACTTAGCGCTTTCACTGTTTTGTTCTATTAGAAGCTTTAAATAAAATGGATATTCTTGAGCAAGTTAATTTTGAACTTAAGGTAACTTAAAATGTTTTCTTGTTTTAGGATGACAAATGGGAAAAGAAATGCCAGAAGATTTTTTCATTTGCTCACCAGACTATCAGTGCTTTGATCAAAGCAGAGCTGGCAGAATTGCCCTTAAGACTTTTTCTTCAAGGAGCGCTGGCTGCTGGAGAAATTGGTTTCGAAAATCATGAAACAGTAGCATATGAATTTATGTCCCAGGTGGTGATCTGTTCTCTTTTCTGGGTTGTCTGGTCAGTTTGCTAAGTTCAAACACTTGTTTGTAGTTGCGGTGGTAGTGCGTGTGGATTTACTCTTTTCACTGAACATGGAACTACTGCTCTCCCCCATCGCGGACCCTGTGATATTGTAGTCGTTGACTGGCGTGGAGCAGCAAAACTGATCAGCTCTGGGTGCTAATGAAATCTAAGATTTCCAAGTGGGTCATGGCAAAAGTGTTTCATGGAAAAAAGGGCAATTCAAGGCAATTCAACTCTGGGTTACATAAATTTGAAAGGAGTTTCTTTCTTTCTTCCTTTTTTTAAATGGTGGAATTTCACTATTTCCCAGGCTGCATTAGAATGCATGGGCTCAAGTAATCCTCCCGCTTCAGCCTCCCACGTAGCTGGGACTACAGGTGCCTGTCATCGCACCTGGCTCTGAAACAGGTTTCTTTATTGCAACTTGTCGGTATTTTTACCATTTCTGCTGTGTCTTGTGCCTCTCCAAGAGAGGACACAGCGTGTTCTGATATGAAGGAACTGCAGAACATCTCACAGGATGGGGCTTTGGTGGAAAGCACTGTGGAAAACACTTAAGTAGTAGATGGTTGGTCCCTAAAAGTCCTTTCTGCTTTATGTCCACTAGGCATTTTCTCTGTATGAAGATGAAATCAGTGATTCCAAAGCACAGCTGGCCGCCATCACCTTGATCATTGGTACTTTTGAAAGGATGAAGTGCTTCAGTGAAGAGAATCATGAGCCCTTGAGGACTCAGTGTGCGCTTGCTGCATCCAAACTTCTGAAGAAACCCGATCAGGGCAGAGCCGTGAGCACCTGTGCACATCTCTTCTGGTCTGGCAGAAACACAGACAAAAATGGGGAGGAGGTAAGGCCACTGTAGGAGACTGGATCATTAACAGGACTGGTTGCCATGGCCTTGTGCTCTGGAGGTGAAACACTTGGGGTGCTTGGAAATCTGACAGAGAAAATTGCTTTGTTTTGTTAAAAGAAACGAAGTGGGCCGTAATGTGTGGAGTCTCCTCCTGTGGGAAAGCCTCCTCTCTGAGGGTGTCGCAGCATAGCCTGTTTATACCACTACCTGTTTTTTTTTTTGCAGCTGTGTATTTAAAGAAAGAAGAATAAAGAGGATTTAAATTTGTTGTGTCCCTTTAAAACACAAAAGAGCACTGTAATGTTGCGTTTATTTGTATGCAAATGGCACGTGTGTGGTTCATTAATCTCTGCACTATCTCCCTGCCCTTTTATTTTAAGCTTCACGGAGGCAAGAGGGTGATGGAGTGCCTAAAGAAAGCTCTAAAAATAGCAAATCAGTGCATGGACCCCTCTCTACAAGTGCAGCTTTTTATAGAAATTCTGAACAGATATATCTATTTTTATGAAAAGGAAAATGATGCGGTGAGTGAATTCATAATGTATGTTAGCGAACTAATACTCTCCCTTCCTGCTCTTCAGAGATTTGATGCGAACAAAAATTTATCATTCTGATACTTTGTGTTTTGTCTACAAGGGCAGAGTTTACAAGTCCACCTACTGGTTTCTTTCATTCTCCAAAAGCCTTTTCTGTCTACATAGATATGTCACTCTAATTGAAGAACTAGTGTGTGCCAGAAAATTCTCATCTCTTTTGCTTAGGAATATTGTAAAAAATAATCACTATCCATTTGAAAAATACAAAATAATTTGCAAGTGCTAAGTAGTGGGCTGATTTGTCACCATGGACTAGTTTAGGATAATTCCTAAATGCATTATTCTTTGAGCAGTGCAGTCTTGGTCAAGATTTGCAGGTTAAATAATTTGCTTGATCCTGTTTTTTTTTTTTTCCTGAATGAATAGTCAATAGTTGTTCCTCACATCAGGAATCATGTTCTCATCTTTGTTTTTTCATAATTACTAAGTAATTGATGAGAGTAACACAAGCTCCTCAAAACAGTGTTATTAAATTATCTTATTTTTTGTGGTACATCATTGATCATGAAATTGTACATATTCTTTTGTAGGTAACAATTCAGGTTTTAAATCAGCTTATCCAAAAGATCCGAGAAGACCTCCCAAATCTTGAGTCGAGTGAAGAAACAGAGCAGATTAACAAACATTTTCATAACACGCTGGAGCATTTGCGCTTGAGGCGGGAGTCACCAGAATCTGAGGGGCCAATTTATGAAGGTCTCATCCTCTGAAAAGGAACCAGCTCACCATACTCCTTTCCATGTGTATTCGGTTTTATTATACTAGGTTTCCCGTCCATAGATTGTGCCTTTCAGAAATGCTGAGGTAGGTTTCCCGTATCTTAACCTGTGCTGTGTTTTACCCAGCACCTCCGACATCACCTTCAGGACCTTAATAAAGTTATTCACTTCATAAGTGTTCAGGTCTGTCTGCTGAACAGACAGTAGCATGACTGATCTGCTATTTAAAATTCCTGTGATCTGTAAAAACAAATACAAAAACCACTTATCTCGGCTATTAATGAAGCTCTCCTTCCTTTTTTTCTGTTTTGTTTCATTGTTGGTTGGTGTTTTCTTCATTACTGGGGAGTACTAACCCAAAAGTGTCTGTCTCTTTGTTCTCTAGTCCAATTTGAGATTAAGTTAGCAGAAAGGAATACCATGTGAAATTCAGCTTGGGCTTTTCCCTAATGCAACATAAGGCCACGTGTACTATTTTCCCTAAAACTAGAATATGTTAATGCATGTCTGAGAATCTTAAAGTACCATGGTCAAAACGAGAAGCTATATTTTGCATATTCGGACTCAACCGTCTATTAAGAACTTAACGTCCTCTGGTCATACTTATCAAAATAATTTGGTTCTAAATAGTATAAAATTGAAAATGTGACCTTATTTATGTACAACATTCATTATTGTAAATTTAGAGGGAAATGCATCACAATTATCATGTTTTTTGTTGTTTTTTTTTGCACCAGTGAAACAATAAAGTTGCTCTTAACAATTTTGGAACTTTTTTTTCTTTCATACTATCTCAACTGATAAAAGGAGCTGTTAGAATCCTGTGGTATTTAATAGACATTCTCATACGCTCGCGGAGCTCACGCGTTCAACTCCAGCTTCAAACACTCACTGAACGAGGCGCCGTCGTGCTCTTTTGTCATTTACACCCATTCGCTTTCCTCAGCCTCACCCTGCTTTCCCTAAGGTGTGATGAATCCACATAAACTCCCAAAGGCTCACCACCTGTATTATTTGTCTACCGTGTAACAAATTATCCCAAAACTTGGTGTCTTAAAACAAGCATTTACCTCACAGTCCTCTAGATCAGGAATTTGGGGGCAGCTTAACTGGTGGTTGTGGCTCAGGGTGTGGCAGAAGGTTGCAGATGAGATCTTGGCTGAGGCCGCGGGCGTCCGAGTTTGACTGGGGCTGACTCCTGAGCTCGCTCATGTTAGCCAGAGGCCGCAGTTCCTCTCCTCGAGGGTCTTCCCATAGGGTGGCTTGAGTGTCCTCACAACGTGGTAGCTGGCTTCCCCGGAGTGCGTGATCTGAAAGAGAGCAAGGAGGAAACCACAATGCCTTTTTAAGACATAACCGTGGAAGCAACACTATCATTTTGGCCTTATTCTGTTAGAAGGGAGTCACTAAGTCCAGTCCATACTCAACGGTCAGGGAAATTAAGTTTCACCTTGTGAAGGGAGAAGTGGCAAAGAATTTACAGACATTTTTAAATGACTGTCACTTAACACCTCCCCATCTGCCCTCCCATTGCTAGATTGGGAGGGCATTTCTAAATGACATATCACCTAACACCCCACCATCTGTACTTGTTAGGTTTTACATGAATAAATGTTTCCAGAGTGATAAAATCAGTACCATTAAAATCTATCATGCTCAGCCTTCCTGTGGTCTTAGTCCAGCAAAGCCCTTTCTGTTCTTTGCAAGTGTGAATTTATCCTTTATAAACTTGATTATGGATTAAAGGTTGACATGTCCATTTTATTTACATGTTATGTAAAATGAAGCTAGAAAAGTAAAAAATACATGACTTGAGAATACTTGAATTTGAGCTCAATTGGAGAGGATGGGTCAGAGGTACAGGGTATAAAGTATCTCATTTTCTGGGTTGACGTAAAGAGACCAGATTTAAAAAACAAAGGGAACCAAAGTGCTGCTAATACAGATTTCTTTATTCAACAAAAATTGAGCACCTACTATATGCCACATAGGCACTGAATATAAAGATGAACAAGATACCGTCGCTAGTTTCAAGAATTTTAGTGTGGTGCGAAGATAGACCCATGGTTACAGAATATGATAAGGGCATGTCCAGCAGAGCACTGAAGAAGGGCTTTTGGGGACTGGGGTGTTGGGGAAGTCCTGGAGAGAGTTGTATGAATTCTCAGGGAACTTCGAATCCAATTTTCCATTTAGCCTTGTGACGCCGATACTTGACCTGCAGCCCCATATTTAACAGGTATGATCCATGGACTGAGCAAGTTAAACTCTTGCTTGTCTGTAATGAAATAAATATTTTTAAAAATTGACTTAGGGCCGGGCGCGGTGGCTCACGCCTGTAATCCTAGCACTCTGGGAGGCCGAGGCGGGAGGATCGCTCAAGGTCAGGAGTTCGAGACCAGCCTGAGCAAGAGTGAGACCCCGTCTCTACTAAAATTACAAAGAAATTAGCTGGTCAACTAAAAATATATAGAAAAAATTAGCCGGGCATGGTGGCGCTGCCTGTAGTCCCAGCTACTCGGGAGGCTGAGGCAGGAGGATTACTTGAGCCCAGGAGTTTGAGGTTGTTGCGAGCCAGGCTCAGGCTACGGCACTCTAGCCCGAGCAACAGAGTGAGACTCTGTCGCAAAAAAAAAAAAGGAAGAAAAGAAAAAAATTAGCCGGGCGTGGTGGTGCATGCCTGTAGTCCCAGCTACTCTGGAGGCTGAGGCAGGAGGATCGCTGGCTTCCAGGAGTTTGAGGTTGCTGTGAGTTATGATGACGCCACAGCACTCTAGCCTAGGCAACACAGTGAGACTCTGCCTCAAAAATAAAAAAAAAAAAAAATTGACTTAGCATTTAAAAACTTTTGTAGCAATTTGATAGAGTAATTTTACATCTATTAAATGTCATGATAAAATTTGGGTTTGTGTTTTGTATGTCTTCTACCACCCTTTTTCTAATAATTTTTATTTTATCTTACAAAAAAGTACCTGTCCTTAATAGATGGGGCGGTGCGGGGGGCGGGAATCCTTCACAGCTAGATAGAAGCACCGAACCAGGGCAGGTTTGGTGCTGAATGGCATTAAATTCCAAGGCTAGGGGTCAGTCACAGGGGGACAAATATAAGAAGATCTGAGTTGGATGAGAGATGCCTTCTGTGTTAGGACTGCCTATCCTCCCCTTCCTGCCTCCACTCAGGAAACCAGTGATTCCACGAGCCCAGATGATTGCTTCTTGACCTGGAAATTCATGCTTCTGACTGGTTCTCAAGCCCTAAGCTTGGTGGTCAGCAGGTTAATGAGCTGTGATACCTCCCTTCCCATTAAGGGCCCTGGCTAGGCTGTAAGTTGCTATTTGCAGCTAAAAGAGGGTGATGTTTGACTTCATCAGGCACTGCAGTGTATGCCCTTCAAAGGAGAATGACAGTGGCTGTAGCACCGTTCATGTGCAGCTCTCAGAGCCATTGAGAATATGACACCCCACAAAGCATAAAGGTACCATCATAGGCAGTGAGAGGGGATTTAAACACAAAGTCTAGACTCCGGAGGGCTCTTCATTACCTTTGCTCTCTCGTTCTGAGAATCCAAGGTAATAAGGCTCAAGCAGAATGGAGTTGAAAGGATTTCCCGACAGAACTGTCTTTGATGGTGGGAATTCCAGACCACGTGATGTAAATGAAAGTGGGGAAATCTGGAGACCGAGGCCTTCCTATGGGGACATGCTGGGGATGGACAACAGACTCGGATTCAGTTGCCAATATACACATTTCGCGCACGCTTGAGCGTGATTAAAGAAAAACATTTCCTGGCTTGTAATTCAAAACAAGTCATTTGAAAGTGGGCTGGGGTAGATCTTACGACTATCCGCCCCTCTAGGTCACCCTGCAGTGTGCAACAAAACTGGGTCCACCCTTCCAAAATCTCCGGAGGCATCAGAAATGTCTCCCTATAATGAAGTAAAATCTTAGGCTGTGATTTATATCCATTTTTCACTCAGCAGAGAGAACTAAATGCAAATACAAAGAAACGTTTGGAGCTTCAGGACAATGAGGTAGAATCCTTTGCATTTGAAAGGAGCACTTCTGTCTGGTATGTTTTTGTAAATGGAAAATGTAATATCTGGTAGGTTTTGTAAAACTGGCTTCTACCATTCTTTTTTCAAGCCTGTTACCTTTAATTCTATACACACAAAGGTGCTGGGATACTGTCATATATTAGTACAAACAAAAGGGTTGAATGTACTTAAACTGATGAGACTTATCAAGGAATAAAATGGACTGAATAGGATATGTGTACAAATTTGGTAAAATTAATATAAACTTGAGCCGTAGTGATTTTAAGCCTTAAACAGGATGTCTCCCCAGGAGATGAGGTACTACAAAATTATTTTTCTCAACCATTTTTATCTTCCTACACATCCCCTGGACCAATGCTTTTTAAACTTTACTAAACATACTAATTACTCAGGGATCTTGTTAAAATGCAGATTCTAGAATTCAGCAAATCTGGGGTGGGACCAGAGATTCCATTTCTAATAAGCTCCCAGGTAAACCCCATGCTGCTGATCCAGGGACCATTCTTTGAATGCCAAAGCCCTAGACAATTCCAAAGACAACATTTTCAAGATACTTGCAGGAACTTGTTTCTTATGTGGGTTCCATGATTCCCTGTGGCAAAGGTGACGTGGGCGGCAGTGCTCTACAGAAGTGTTATGACTACCTTGACTTCACGTAGTACAAGGGGTTTAGGCGTCTGGTACAAGAGACATTTCTGTCACACGTACATATGGGGGTGGGCCTTGGCCGTTCCAGGGCAAAACAATTGATGAACATTTTTCTGGAACTCAGGTGGCAGAGTGGGTACAGAATAGGGTTGATAACCAAATTCAGCTAGAGGAGCCAGAAGGATGTCTCATAGAGGGAGTGCTAGACACTTGTCCCATGGCTGGCAGCTTGGATGATCATGAGCAGAGTGCAGGGAGCCCAGCACAGGAAAAACACACATGATGATGGCCAGTGACTTGGCCATCCTGGGAGAGCCACAGGTGACTGGCCACAGTGCTGGAGAGGTCCAGCTGCCTCCAGCCACTGCAGACACTCTTGCTGGCCCTGTCGTGGTTCTGCCACTGCAGTGCTACTTTGGCTGTGAGGCCCTTTTGCAAGAAGTGGTAAATCTTGAGTCCCGGAGATGTCCAAGGAAAGACCTTTGTACCTGGGGGAGAGGCCCTGGTCTCTTCCTGCTCCTCCTCTCAGCTGTTTTAACAAAAAA